TGCTCTCCTCCGTACACCGCTCACTTTCTTCCTTTGGCTAGGATTACAAGTTTAAAAACTCATCTCACAGAGTTTACGTGGAAAATACCGATCGATCTTACGATTATCGTAAATATGTTCTCGGATAGTAATGTAATCGTTCAAGAAAGAAAATAACATACACGAATTATTTGGCGCCCTTTAACACACTCGATCAAGACGAGAGCCTTACAAAATACGACATGATTATTTTTTGTGTTTTTTTTTTCATTTTTCTTTTTTTTGCTTTTTATTAATTAGAACGAATTAACATATTTCTCTCGCGTAGATAGTTAAAGACAAATTGTTAGTCATGCTCGCGTGTTATTAAGACGGATTGAACGATGTTTTGCCATGGGGATTTTTAAAAAGAAGAAAATTTCTCACTTTTCCTATCTTTTTCTCTCCCCCCTTTCTCTCTCTCTCTCTTTCTCGCTGTACTCATGTCGTATTCGTTTCGTTAGATTACCGCAAAATCTGCCGAGAAAAAAGATAATTCTAACGTGAGGAAGGCAACGCTGCGACAGTTCTTGCTCGTGCATATCCGTTATTCGATATATCACAGTAAAAAAATACTGTGGAAAATATAGTATAATAAATACATTTTTTCAATAAAAAAGAAAAGGAAGTTTCCTTTCTCACGTTTACCATTATGTTTCGTTAATTATCATTACTTCTTACTTGCTTGTTTGTTTGTTTGTTTGTTTTTTTTTTTTGGCCTTTTTTCGTTTTTTCTATCAGATAGCTGCTTAGAGAGTAAATTATAGCGGCTTTTTTTTGTTCTTTCGAGAGTGATACTTTTCCTTTGTGTGTGTGTGTATGTGTGTTTCAATCGATTCGCGCCTCATTAATAAGTTACAGTGGTAATTATTAATGTCCAACGACACATCCCCTTTCGGTATTTAAAATTATCGTATTAATATATATATATACAGTCAGACTCCATCCCGCAATTATTTTTGGGCCACTATCTACATACAAGCCCTATTATTTTATTATTAGTCGCTAATAATCGATTATAACGATAAGAAACGGTATCGCGGTAAGAGGCGCATAATACGATAAATTATCGAGGTTCAATTGAAATTTTTTCAGAAATTTTCTCTTTCCGTCCTTCTTCTCCTCGCTTGCTGACGATAATCGTTCGTTCTCACACGATTCCAGCAATTCTCCCTCGCGTAATAGTATCCCTTTTTTTTTTTTCGGTCTCACCAAACTTTTCGCATCGGTTACGCGTAACACACGTGTATACGTAATGATTACAATGAAAAAACGACACACACACACACACACGTCTGCGCAAGCACGGCGAAACTTCTTTTTTTTAGTATGCACGGTTTTTTTTCTCTCATTTCCAAAACGTACAGCACGTTGGTGTACGTGTACATTCATGGAAAATGCGTGTGTGTGTATGTGTGTTCTCTCGTGTATACATATATTGTAAGAATGTATAATATATATATTATTTACTTTATATTTGATACGGTAGGCAATGATACGTAAAATATAGTTTAAATACAAATCGGAAATTTGAAATTCGTTAGAAGGAAAAATCTCTTCGTCGAATAGCAAAAAGGGGAAAATGTCGTGTACGCATTCCGCAAGAGTTTTTCTACTCTCTTTCTTCTTTTTTGTTCGTTTTTTTCTTTTTCTACTCCGGAAAAAGAAAAAGAAACAACACAACGTTATACCGAATTCTAAGGTGTTTTCTCTCGGAAAAAATTCTATTTTTTTTCTGATTCTCGTGAAATTCGTTGTAGAACTTGCTACTTGTTCGACCGTGTAGAGATTCCTTTTTTTCTTCTTTCTTTCAGCGATGTTTCTTTTTCTTCTTCTTCTTCTTCTTCTTCCTCTTCTTCCACTTTCATCCGTTCTTTCTTTTCTTTTCCTTTTTGTTAATTCGCCGGAGGTGACAGGTTCTCTCAAGAAAATTCACCCGCCTGACACGATCGACGGAGACGCGGACAAAGGACGTGGATAAAAACAATCGTTTAAGCCATCCAAGAATATCTTTTCTCTTTTTTCGTTCGCTCGTAATTTCTTCGTTCGCGCAAGAACAACTTTTTTTAGTTCCTTTCCTCGATAATTTGATTTTGTTTCTTTTTTTTTTCGTTTTCTTCCTAAAAAGGATATCTGGGAGAATCGTCGATTTCTTCTTCAATAAGTATAACAAATCTCTTCGTCTAAGGATATCTTTTTAAATCTGAAGATTTTTTTTAATAGAACAAACAGGATTTTTCGAATTACCTTAATTTTCGCTTTTTCTACGTCTGCGAAACGAGTTATTAATTATGTATACGTTGTTAAAGAAAAAGGAGAAAGAGAGAGAGAGAGAGAGAGAGAGAAAGGAACGTGAGAAAGTTACGACGATACTCCGAGGCACCCTTTCGTCCTTACGAATATATATATATGTATACATTATATATTTACATATATAATGTAAAAAGCTGTTGTTAAGATTATGCAGAAATTTCAGAATGAAAATGACAAAAAAAATCGCAACAATTAAAAATATAACAGTGTTAATACAGCATTTGACTGTTCGAACAGGCGTTACACATCGTCCATGCCGAAACTTTTTTCATTTTTCTTTTTTCTTGTTTTTTTGTTTTTCGTTTTTCGTCTGACAACGAGATGCATCGGTCGAAGAGTAGTACACCGTGCTAAATCGCAGTACAGTACATAATGACGATAATAAAATGATTCTCAATTAATAGTTAAAAATGTAGGCGTCGTTAAAAATCCAAGATTTTACAGTTTTTTTTTCGTTTTTTTTTTTTTTCGAAAAGTGACGTGGAAACAAGGGGAACATAATTTCGCAGAATACATCGAGAATGGAAGAGAAAAAAAAACACGCATCTGTAATTTTCGACTTTATACGAAGAAGTTACGTTTCTTTTCATATTATTTGTTTAATACAACAGCAAATCGTGTTATCTACGTTTCCTTCCGTTGTTCGAAATGGTAATCGGCGAAAAAAAAAAGGGGGTTTTCCCTCTTTTTATTTGTTTTTTCTCTCTCTCTCTCTCTCTCTCTCTCACGGCATTTAGACGTGCATAATGGAGTCTTGCTTCGTTCTGAGATTATAATAATATGCATACGAGTTCGTGTAAAATTTGAAAAATAACTAGCTTATATCAGTCATCTCGAGGTGTGCACATTAATGCGAATGTTTTTAATTGATTCATTCCTCTCCTTAATATCTGTATCGTACGATTTTCCACATTTTTCTTCTTCCATCTATTCGTTAATTTCATCTTTATTATTATTTACTTTATTGGATATGCACATATTTATTCAGTTTAGACAAGTATACAGCATCACGTTTTTTATTTCATTTTATTTTATTTCCTTTTTCACTGAAGTACCCAAGTGCAAAGATATCTACTTCAAATTTCGAAACCACGCATTCCACCAGCAAATGCTGAACTTTTCTTTTATTCTTTCCCCCTCTTCAGGCATTTCGCGTTTAAGGCAATTAGTATACTTTTTTTTTTTCTCTCTCTCTGTTTCATCTTTCCTTACATCGTTGCTTCGCTATCTGTTTTTTTTTTATATTTTTTTATTTTTATTTTTTTATTTCTTTACTTATTATTTCCAATTCACACGTCACAAAATACAGTGGGGCGGAGGGAGGGTCGGCGGCGGTGGAGGAGTGATAGAGAAAGAGAGAAATAGGAGACGAGTAGAGTCGTTAGAAGTTACACATCGAGAGAAAAAAAGAAAGAAAGAAAAAGGCGTGTACAGAATGAATGGCGTATACTGTTACATAGAGCGGGGAGGTTTTTTTTTTGTAACTGGAGTTGGGGACGAAGGTGGAATTGTAAATAAAGAACTGGACGAAAAAAAAAAGATCCAGGAGAAATGAGAAAGAATGAAACGTTTTTCCTTCTTTTTTTTTTTCCAATCTTTTCAACACCTTCGGTTGTTCGTAAAACGTTATTAATATAAATCGAACAACGACTTTCGAATTTTCGCGATGCGTGCGTTTGAATGCCAGGGAACACGCGAGAGCATATATATGTATGCGTGTACGTATGTGTATATATGGAGACAAGAACAAAGAAAAGAAGAGAAAGAGAGAAAAGAGCAAAAAGAAAAAATTAAAAGTCACGCGCTACATATTTTGTATAATTTTTTACAAGTTTATATGTATATATGTATATGTATAATTTTTTTGTTCTGCATCGTTCGTTTCATCCACATCTTGCAGATACACCC